AAAGGCCTACCTTAACGTTCCATCCATCAGTCACAAAGCTCGCATCAACTGGCAGTCCCTTCTCCTCTATTTCTTTGCGCAGCACCTCCGGGTCTGAGCCTGTATCGCACGGGACGTCGCTCGTTTCTTGGATATCCGGTAGCAGAATCAGCTTCATGTTGGGGTTCGCTTTGAAAACAGGCTCGAAGCTCTGTAGGGCCGTGTACATCGTGCGACGGAGCGGGGAGGCAACTACGAGATCGATCTGGCCATGGCGGGGGAAGGTGTCGCGGAGTTTCTGACATTGTTCGATTCCAAGGTCGGTGAGCGGGGGGTCAGGGATAACGTGGTTTTCGGTGCAAAGGTTGTGGACGCCCTAGAAATGAAAGACTTGATTAATGATGGGCCATGTGAAAGTTACCGCGTATTGGGGGGCGTACCTGGGCGTGGCGAACGCAGTGGATGGTAGGGGCCATCTTTTAACGATAGGAGGCGGGGTAGCGGGGCAGAGAAGGACAATGGCGATTCTTAGCAGAATGATGGAACGAAGGAAGATTATAGGAAAGAAAGAAGATAAAGAATGATTGAAAGAGTGAGAGATGAGTCAATGGGGACCCTGCTTCAGATGAAAAGCTCACCGTGTGGCCAAAACTGGAGCCTTCGTTGGTGGGGAGAAAAATGGAGATTCCCGGGGGGCCGCCAACGACCAACGACCATCTATCTTGGCGTATCAGAACAGGTACAGCTTTTGGAGGAAAGGACTTGTATATCGTCTACCGCTGGTAATTAAACTACGTAGCTATATACAACAAAGAATATAAACCCGGGAGAACCATCCATTCCCATTCATAGCGCCAACCCCTCATGCAACGCCGAATCCCTGCGCATTCTCCAATGCCTTGTTGAGCTTTTCCTCCAACATACTTTTCGATGAGTACTCCGGCAGCAGGAGTCGTCCGAAGCACGTCAAACTAGTCGGGAGCCGCTAGGACCAACGTTAGTAAGGCCCAGTCACTGGACTTTTTCAGGTTCAACTTACAGCATCACCCACGCCGTTCTTCTGGATCACGAACATGATGCTCGAAATCCCATTGACCGGCACTCTGTCACTCGCAGTGACGAACTCCAACAGCTGCGCCTTTTTCTCGGGAGAGAACTCCTCAACAATATCCCAAAAGTCCCGTATCACCTGGTGGTTCGCACTAAAGCCACCTTCGTACCGGGCATGGCGTTTCAGCTGTGCCATGTCGATCTCCTGGATGCCCTCAACTACCGTCTTCAGCGCTTCTGGCGTGAATATAGACAGGGACTGGCGGTCAAGACAGGTATAAAAGCCCTTCGCAAACGCCTCGAATTGTGGGCGGATAGACTTGTCGGTCAGCCAAAAAATATAGTCCTTTACAAACTGATTCCTATTGTCGTTGGTCACCAAAGCCGCTTCATCAGCTGGAGGGGTAGGCGAAGGTAATGGGGGCAGGCTCGCCGCAAATTTGGCAGCGTCATCATGTGAATCAGCGGTTTCAGCAGCCATCGATGACGGTGGACTTAGACTAGCCTGGTCTGTATAACGGCGGACATCCGACCAAGACGGTGAATATCGCACAGAGCGACTAGATGGTGGAGCTGCAACCGAAAGATGCCATGGGGTATCTCTGCGGACTTTATCCATATCAACTGTCTCAACACGACCAAATGCCTCGAAGCTGAACTCATATGTTCTCATGAAAATGTCACCGACATCGCCTTCGTTCCAACGTAGGAGTTCTTCCAGTCCCCTGGTCAGCTCCGGCCACCCATCACGAATATGGTCTAGTTGTTTTATTTTCAGCCCCAGCAGTTTTCGGTAGAATGCAGTCGGGAAATTCACAGGGAGCGTCAAACCATTATACATGGCAAGCGACATCAATAATCCGAGAAGCTCGAATTTGTAAAGGGGCTCCAATGAGCATGGCTGAAACCATGAGAGGCGAGTTCGGGCGTCCGTCGTGAACATACCGTATGACGGGTCAAGAGCCTCCGCCATCAATAAACGAAAAAATTCTTGTTGAACGCCACCGTGATCAAGCCCTTCTTCCCCTTCATCCATGCCCATTTGGACCTTTAAAGGTCGCATGAGCTCTCGCCTTTCACGTCGCCAAAGTTGGTTCAAAGCGTCTGTAAGAATGTTATCGCGTCGAATGACAAGCACAAGATAAGTCGTCATTGATGTTCGCATCCGAGCAAGAAGGCCAATATCATCTTGGATCTCGATGGCGCCGAGAGCAGTCTGGCTCACATGTCTTGTCGTAGTCATAGCCGCTTCATAGTATTTGGACATGGCGGAATAGTTGAGAGCACGAAAGTATGTAACGAGTGAGGACGGAGGGAATAAAAACGGATAAGACAAAAGGTGTAAAGTTTTGTTACTCGACACTCGCGCTATCCATTCCACAGGCATTTCGAGAGGATCCAGGCGCTCAGCTAGGAAGTGAGTATGGAAGTCTTCTGAGGTAAGACCAAGGCGAGTTCTTTCTCGATAAAGAGCGGACAATATCTGCACGACACCTCCTTCTGAACTGCTTCTGGATATTTCAGGGTTCCCATCCCAGGTTTTCATGAAAAGAGTACGTAGCCACTCGTTGATTATCGCCGGCGCACTAGGCTGAGAGTTTGAACCCCCGCCACTCCTAGACTGGGCAACGAGATCGGAGTGTTGGCCAAGAATTTCGACGAAAGTGTCCAAAACGTTGCTTTTGCGTTTCGAAGACTGCTGGCTATATGTGGGTCGAGTTTTGGATATCTCATGAAAAGCTAACCGTGCGGTAAGACCACGTACTAAACGATCAACTAATCGAAGGGCCAATTCGTGTTCCAGAACGTCAGTGGCTTCAATAACCACTCGGGCGTCGTCCAGGCGAAACATTTCCATAGCCGCGCCCATAGCCACGCAACCAGTAGATCGCATTAGAACCATACAGCTCCATGTGGAGTTGTCGATTTCTGGGAGTGAGCTTGCCAGGGCAAACAAGACCACCGTTGCAACATCTGCAGCATTAGCGTCAGTGATATACTGGTGGTGACTGGCAGTCTCAGATGATCGGCGAATTATTATCGGAGCAGAAACAGGCGTAGTAGGGTTGGAATTGCAAGAGGAGCGTCGGGAATTCCTTGCGGATGCAGAAAGCTCTTTAGGTGGGACAAATAATGCCTCCAAAGCATTCCACAGACTGTGGAAGACAATGTCTTTAGGACAGAGAGCGAAGAGTTTGCGTAATGAAGGTTGCAACTGCTGAAGGTTGAGATTGGAGTCCTCGTTGGAATCATGGGGATGAGCCGTGTCCTTTCGAAATGAGCGCAAAAGCTGCCTGCTACTCCCCAGCGCGTAAAAGACGCTTTGAATGATAAACGTGAATACTGCACGTTGTCGGGAAGTTGCAACTCGCCATTCAGAATCTTCGAAACTTCCGCTGGTTTCCATAAACGTCAGCTCCTCTCTCCACTTTTCCGCTTCATCTTCAGAAATTATCAGCATTTGCTTTAAACCATCAATAATTTCATCGTTAAGATGACTGAGTGATTGGATCGTCGAAATATCCAGCGCCAGTTGTGGTCTGTCGTGGTGGCAGCGTTGGTGGTCTTTGGATGGCTGGGCCTTTGGAGAGTGCTCGTCCTTGGGACCAGGAGTAGGACCCGGCTGATATTGAGATTGAACATCATTCAGAAACTTCGCTCCATCCCAAGAGACCCGTCTCTCCTTCTTTGCCTTCTCATACGAGCGAGTATTGTTTGCATCAGTCGCTCTTCCACGATGTTTTTGTGGACGGTGTCTAAGCGCCGGCGGCGAAGGAATATTGACGAATTCGTCGGCATTTGCATTCGCATGCGCACTAACTGAAAGTTTCCTTGCGGGTTTCAAATCGGGGAGGGGTTTCTCATCCAAACTTGATTTTGAATTTGAACGTCGTAGTTCAGTCTCTGTTAAGGACAATCGCTTGAATTGCTGATTGGGTAACTTCAGCTCCACTGCCGTTGTCTGAGACCCAGTGTTGCGTGACGAAGGCGTGTGCGGGTTGCTCCCCGTGTTAGCTTGATATGGTCGTTCCTTAAAATATGGTTGGTCTTTATCCGAATCCAGGTGCGCTTGGCAGGTATCTGAATTGGGAGATCGAGGGGTTTCTCGGTAGTGAGAGCGCGCTTGGTCAAGGTCAAATGAGCCAGGAGACCGGCGAAGAGGTAGCCACTCAATCATTCGCAGCGAAAGGGTATCAAATAAATTTTGGGTAAATGATTTTGGGTCTTTCATTCGCTCCGTCGTCGGGTTGCTAGGGCCCGGCACCGTAACCATATGTTTCCGGGGGCCGCGCATCGGGGACGAGCTGCGCACAAGGTCATCTTCCAAAGGTTGTGTCGTCGAGTTGACATTTGCTGTATTATCGGTTGATGAGATTGATGGGCGGGTTCTCCTGGGCTTCTCGGCCGACGCTATGGACTCGGGTCGTGCCGGGCTTTGAGCGGAGTGTGTAGGGGTTCGACGTTTCGACCGGCGTGTTGAATCTTGGGAAGACAACTCGGAGTGCACACGAGGAGGGTTGCGACAGAGACCCGTTTCCGCATTGTCCAAACTTGCTAAGTAACAAGCCAGTGTCCGCGCGCTCAGCTCGGTATAACGTCGATACGGCCCTTCTGATACTCTCTTCTGATAGCTGGCACATGTTGGGGTTTGACAATTCGGATTTTGACACCCGTGGAGAAGTTGGTTTTTGTACCTGAATGTGGCCCAAATTAAAACCTATTCATCAACCACGTCTCTAGGTACATGGATGCGCTTGTACTCACCGTCTCACCAGGATGTTGAACTGCCGCCGGCGTTCATCGCGATACCACAATAACACCTGGGCAGGATCGGAAACATCCACAGTATTTTGGAAGATAATATCTGGAGCGTTTGGAGGCAGTTTGGACCTGTGGCAGTGAGAGCGGTCCATACCATTACCGCCTCGCGAGCTCTCGCAAGAGCTTACGGACGGCCCGCGGAGCCTGGTCATATTTGCGCGATGAATAGCATAACTCAAGCGGTATATATCAGCAATGTAAATTAAGAAATGAGTTGCCGCTCAACAATGAAAGTTGTGGCCAGCACGGAATCTAAAGAATGAACAGCTATTGATAATGAAATGATGCACAGAATACGAGACAGAATACGGGGCAACAGCACCTCCGTCTGCGCCTGGTGATGATGGGGAACCCCAGCGCCGCCAAGATGCCGAGTCCCGTGATCTGTATGAGTCAGCAGAGTTCTGGGTCGAGGCTGCAAGAAGGCTAGCGCTAAAGTGAGGGGCGAACGTCATACTATCCCAAAGGAGTAAAGGCCGAGCATTTGTGCGGAACCAGAAGCTGATTATCGATCATGATTCAGTTGTTTCTGTGACTCAAATTATTAAGAACATCTTCTTTTTTTGTGGCGAGTATTCAGAGCCGAAGCGAACGTCACTGTTAAAAAGCAGGTGGGATCCCACTTGTCTGCTGCTATCGTCTCCATCCACTCTTATCTGCGCCGTTCTGTTGTGAGCGCAGCCGATATATTTTTTTTCGCCTTCCCACACACCCCGCCTCGATCACCAACATCTACCCATATAACGTTCTCTTCATTCAACAGTGAAATTAACGACTACTGAA